TGACTGGACACAAAGCAGCTCTCTCACACAGGGAGCCCAGGCACCCTCTCTGCCGTGCCTTGTTCCTCTCCTCCTCTCTTCTAGAGCACTATGGGAAAAAAGAAATTCAATCACTGTAAGGGAGGGGAAAGGGGTGGGCTGTAGAAATATTTGACTGAAAATAACCTTCATGCTAATCTGAGTCCTGACAGCAGTTCTTGAACAGGAGCCAGGCTAAACGTGTGCCTGGGCTCTCCTCAGGGGCCAAGGTGCCTGGGCCAGGCTCCAACAGCATGCTTGTTCTTTCCTAGGGCTGCACTCCATCCCCAGACCCCTCTGTTTCATCCCCACTTGCCTCCCTCACACCTCTGTCTACTTATCACCATCCCCACCCTTGCCACAGCACTCCCATTGCATCCCACAGTTCTCTGCTGGCCACAAAGGCACCTTGGGGCAGGTCCCTGTAAATCTTAGGACGATGGCTGTGCTAGTCATGAGTGACAGGACTATCCCTTCCCAGAATTAATGCCTATTGCTGGCAGAGCCACTAGGCTGTGGTGGGCCAGGGAAGGTTTTTCTCACATGGTAGACAGCTGCAGGAGAATATTGCATCCCATCCTACCTTACTGCTGGGTGGCTGCCAGAGCTGTCCCCTCTGGCAGGTTGGGCTGGGCTCTCTGCCTCCTCCCGAGCACTACAGACTGGCTGTACCACCAGCTGGGCTGGGAGCACTCAGAGAGGCCATGGTGGAGCAGCTGGGGGTGGTTTGGCATGAAGCACTGCAGCCCATCTCCTCACGCTGAGACCTCCCACCACCCACTGCAGCAGAGCTCAGCTGCCTCCCTGCCTCCAAACAGCAGACTTTTATGCCTTCCTTTCCATCAGGGCCTATATGAGTAGGTTTTTTAAGGCAGAATTTGGGGGATTCCTTAATGTCATAGACCAAATTCCCTTCTCTTCCTAGGTGGCACAGGAGAAGAGCAGAAAAAGGCTCTTCCTGCAAGTAGGGTACACCTAAAGAATCACCCAGGCACACCTAAAGAATCAACAGTAAGGATGACAGGGTTAGGAGATTTCCCTTTTCTCTTCAAAGTGCAACACCACTCACAATCTATGGAGCTGGTACGTTTGGTAAACAGGCTGGACACCAGTGTGGGAGACAGGCACTATTTCCTATCAGGTACACTCATCCCAGACCACACACCTGTTTTGTGTCAAAGCTACCCCGAGCTTGGTGGGAACATACAGGGGCACTGTCCCCCTGGGGAAGCACAGTCCTTTGGGCTTACAGCCCCTCCACAATGCCAGGCTCATTGTTCCACAGCCTCATTGTTCCACATTGTTCCACAAGTCTCTTATTTCCTACGCACACCTGCTCTGCCTCAGCATATTCCCTGTCCCTGGAAGACACTAGTTTTTCCCACCAGACTATTCCAGGTCCTCTTAGCGGGGCAGGTAACTCTATACCTGCTGTGCTGGTTTAACAGTCTGGTTTTCAGTTAGGGGGAGGCCCCGGGCTGCAGCCCTGTGGGGACCCGGCAGAGCCAATCAGCTGGCTAGTTTAAAGGGCCAATCAGCTGGCTAGTGTAAAGGGCCAATCAGCTGGCTAGTTTCGAAGATTGACACCCGGTTAAGCCACTTAAAAAGAGCTGAACCCGCGTCCGTGGAAAAGAGCCGTTAAAAGCGAACAAAGCCCGGGAAAAGCCAGCCTGGCTTCCGGCCTTTGAACAGCTCTGTGGCTGGCCTGGCTCTGCATGGCCAGATTGGGCTGTGGCGCTGGACCCTTTCTGGGAAGCTTGCCAGACTCCATCCCAGTGGGGCTGAGGCCCCTTCCCAATGGAGCCCGCCAGTCCTTTTTTTGCTGGTGGTGCTGCTTGGAGGCCATCCCAACACCAGGAGCGACCATGTGGCCAGGGCTAGTGCCGGGAGTGGCCCTGCAGTTGGTGCTTGGGGCGACCTTGAGGCCAGGAGTGGCCAGGGCTGGGAGTGGCCACCACCATTCTGGGCCAGGAGCATGCACGTGGCTCGCAATGAACTTTGTTTGTTTAGCCACTTTTAGCCAGCCATGCTGCGGTCAGAAGGACAAAAACAGCAGCAGCTTTTCTTGTTTCCAGCACTCGACATGAAGAAAAATGCTGAGTGGAGCCGGCACAGCTCGCACGGTGTCAGCAGAGGCCCCATGAGTAGCAGCGAGAGGCACAGCAAGCGATTCCCCCCATGCACAGCCTGGATGAGAGCAGCCTTTTAGCACTGCAGAACTCTGTAAAACTGTTTCAGTTCATAAAGCTTGAGAACAAATGAACACCAATTCTCTCCTGAATCAGCGAAAGGAAAGGGTGAAGACATGTAGAGAAAACAACATGGGATGCTGAGGTCAGTGAAGAGTCAAATTCTAGATGAGAGGGAATTGAGAAGATGCCTTAGTCTTGGGCTGAAATTATTTTGTAAGGCTATGGTGAAGATATATCAAATATATCAGACTTTGGTTTTTCCCTGTAATTCATGGAATGCACTGGGGGGATGTAGCATTCTAACCACAGCCATGAGCAGAGGCATCAGTGTTGAAGTAAGCAGATGTCGCAGCAGCTGTGATCCAATGAGAATCTTGAACAGAGCGAAATGAGAAACCTTGCCCCAGGAAAAGAAAGAAGAAAATCTCTGTTCCCAGAGACAGACGAAAAGAACTTTTGCTTTTATGCTAGAACAGCTCATCCTTAAAATAGTACCCCGTAAGTTGACATGGCCCGTGAACACAGCTGTGGAAAAGCTGCAAGAGATGGGAAGGACTTTACAATTACAGATTTTTCAGGCGGCTGCTATTCATGGAAATGAAAAACCACAAGAAAACTTTTTTGTGGAGAAGTCTCCATGGCATGACAAGAGAGACTCCTCTCCCTAAGAGAACTGAAGACTATTTTAGAGGTGGTAAACTGACTGAAAGTCCCAAGTTTTGTCTCTTTATGTTGTCAGTGGGAAAGGAAAGAAGGTGTGGGGGGAGGAGAAGTGTTCTGAAGGTTTATTCTGATTTTCTTATTATTTTTCTTTTAATTCTGTTAATAAAATTTTCTCTATATCCTTGAAAGTTTTGAGCCTGTTTTGCCCTCCTCCTAATCCATATCTCACAGCAGGAAATGTGTAAATAATTCTAGTGGGTACACTGGCATTTAGCCAGCACTAAACCCACTACACCTGGTAACCCAGAATAGGTTTCCATTGCTCTGGAATTGGAGCTCACCTTGCTGGAAATCCCATGGGTGCCCTTATGTGTCAACCAGCTGCCCTGGTTGCAGACTTGCAGACTCCCATACTTGCAGTGTCTGGCTGCTGCCTCAGCTCCTCAGGCCAGCGGGACCCTGCAGCCTGCTCTGTTCCTGGCAGAGGCTGAGTCTGCCTGGAGGTCTGTCCAACTCTAACACCAGGGCATGTGTGCTATGGGATGACCCAAAGCACCAGGCTGCTCTGGGTGCTGAAGTGACTTGTTCTCACTTCTTCTCATACAGTTGTATGCTGTAACTTCTGCTCCAAGTACAAGCACACCGCTTTCTGTTTTGTATTTCGCTGCAGAGGGAGTCCCAAGCCCCATCTCCTCCATGCCTCGGTGGGGAGGAAAGTGCAGACCTCTGGGCCACTTTGGATCTCTTACCTCTCTCTGGCTACGGTGTGACATCCAACTCCCTCTCAGCTTTGGCTGAACTTGCCCTCCTTGAACATTGGTGACTAGAGTCATACACAGTATTCCTGTTTAGTTTTATTCTTCTTCATATCTTTACAGAAAATGGCACATAAATCACAGATGCTGGATGACTAGAAGTTGTTACAGCTCCATATCTCAAACACCTCAATACTGAATTATTTTCTCACTGTATATACATTATTTACACTCCATGGGCTATCATCTAACACGTCAAACGATGGGGGGGACGACAAAGACAAACAGGGGTTGGATGACTGGGCTTAACCCTTTGATGGAAGAAAAACAGTAGCTCTGGGAATAGGGTGCTCACAGCTGAAAGCAGGACAGAAAGGGTCACCTGGAAGTCACTGTCCTACAGCTTTTGGAGGGAGAATAGTGCTTTACTGGGATGGGAAGGTGATGGTACCATGGAGTGAGTTTGGCTGTGTGGGTCTGCATGTGCTCCTATGGGATGTATGTACATGTTACAGGGTGTGTCAGGGTGGATGTGCATGGCTGTCATTCCCTTTAACACTCAGAGGGTGAGCTGGACAAATTTAATTCAATAAATACATTAGGTGGATGTTGTTGTCTCACCTGGAATAATGTATTCAATAAATAAATTCACCATTCATCCCCTCTGCAGGGGTGTAGGGTTTTGGTGTTTAGGCCAGAGTCCAGACCCAAGTGCCCAGCCCTGCAGGAGCCAGTGAAATGGGCTGGGGTCAGCTCAGGGTGCCAGGTGGGACCAGGGTATCATGCTTGTGGGCCAAACCTGCCTCTCCCTGCCAAAGAGAGGCAAAATATAACTGCTCTTAAGCTGCAGTCCCTTCCCAGCAGACCTCAGTGCTGGGCAGGGAGAGATGGGTGGAAGGTGCAAACCACCCTAGACGGATGGTCATCGTTTTGTGCAAGCACTGCCATGGGCTTGTCCTGCTGCAGCCTGGGACAGAGGCAGAGGTGATGGCCAGCAGAACGTGGCATGTCTGCCTGGGGCACGGTGGGACAGGACGCAAGGGGAAGGGGCCTGGGCAGCACTGGGCAGAGATGTGTACCAAGGAGAGGCATGGCAGCAGGGAACAGGCTTGCTTCAGGTTGGCAAATGGGGTTTGGGGCTGCAGCAGAAGGAAAAAGCCCCAGAGCTAGTTGTGAGGCTGAAGGGACCAGAGCCTTAGTGTCATTGGTGGCAGTGATGAGGTGACATTTCCCGGTCCCCCAAAAGGAAGGGGTGGGGGGGTGAGGAAGGCCTGGTGGGGTGGAGGAGCGAGGGGCAGGGGTATGCTTTAGGGGAGCAGGCAGTGGGCATCCCTGCCAGGCAGCCCCAAACACAGAGACCAGGGCCCCTGTCCCTGGCAGGGGTGGCCGGGGACACCTGGCAGTCCAAGGGGGAACATGGCCCCCAGAGGACACAGTGTCTGTCGGGGCTGGCTTCTGCCACCTCTCTTCCCCCTAGATCAACTTCTCCTCCTTCTGCGATGAGTTCAACTTCTCCGTCTGTCTCTCATCCTCTGCCACTGCCGCCTCCTCCCCTGTCTCCGGCTTCCTGCCTGGGGCTGGGGTGTCCCCGGCAATGGTCCCCAGGACTTTGGTGCTGTGCTCCTGAGCTTTGGCCCTGAGGGCAGCAATGCTGTTTTCTCTCAGTTCCTCCTGGGAAATGGTGGTTTTGGGATCAGGACCCCTTTCTTCTTTGTCACCTTTGTCAAGCTTGGGCAGGGCCTGGCGCTCCACCTCTGTCTTCCTCCCCGCCTCAGCCGCTGCCTCCAGAGACTTTTTGTGCATCCCTAAAAAGAATTGTTGGTATTCGGGTTTAGAAAAGCGCCTGGGCATGGGAAAGCCATCTTGAACTGAAAACAGCAAAGATAAAGAGAGGCCAGAATTAAGGAAAAGCAGAAACCCTTGCTTCACACAGCAGTCACGGTGAGCCACTCGCTCTGGCTCCCGTGCGAGGGCAGCCCAGGCAAGGCAGCTGCCTTCTGGGGCAGCCCAGCATCTGTGGATGGTGGCTGGTCCCAAAGGTCTATAATTACTCTCCCCTTCATTTCTCTCTGTGAACCTGAAGCTAACTTGTTCCTGCATGGAGATGAGGGTCTCAGACAGCAGCATAGTTGCCTGAGCTTCACTGAGACTGGGGAGGGAGATCCCTCATTAGGAGGGATATTTCTATTTCTGTATCAAATCACAACCACCTTTCTGCCTCTCTCCATTTCACACAGACAGAAGGACAGGAGAGCCCATTGTCAAGATGCCAGACACTACTTTTGGGGCAGATCCAGCCTGGAAGGTCAGAAAGAGGGAAGCAAAGAGCAGGAGTGTGACAGGGTAGCTGCTACCTCCATGTTTCTTTCCCCCATAAAACCAAGGGTAACTTGGACAAACCCAGAGCATTTGGGAGTCCTAGCATCCCACCCAGCATCACAGGGCTGGAGGAGTGAGACTGGGATGACCTCCTGCCTTGGGCAAGGATTGGAGCACCTACTCCAGAGCTGGGCAGGAAGGATGCTTGAGCCATGGGAAGTGAAGGTTAGCACCAGCCTGAGCATGTGGGAAAATTTGTGTCCCAGCCTGAAGGTCATGATCCAAGGTCCAGCAGGAATTTGGGATTAGTGGTCAAACCCTATTGACAAGGGGCATTGGCAGATGGAGGCATCAAGTCTGGCAGGATGGGGGGACCTGCTGCCCTTCACCTGTTTTCAACACAACTCTGATTTCTTCCTTCCATCCCTCTGTCTCTACCCATTTGCCATCCCCCATGAAGTTGGCTGGTCTCTTACCCAGGAGCCAAGGGGCACAGGACTCCATGATGCCATCCTTGGCAGACTTGAGGATGGATTCAGGCAGCGGGATGGAGTGACGCACCATGGCACCGTAGAGCCCGTACTCAGCCATCACACTGCTCCTGCCCCAGCACTTCTCCCTCTTCCGCCATTTGGCCCGGCGGTTCTGGAACCAAACCTGGAGCAGGCGACAAGGAGGGACATCCTTTCTGTGCATGGAGAAGGCGTGCCAGACCCCTTCCCACATGGGAACATGCATGTACTTCTGCAGCATGACGAAAGCATGTTTATTCCAAAGGCAACACAACCTCTTCCCTCATGCAACAGACATTGGGTATCTCCCTCCCTCCCTTGAAGGAGTGGTGAGGGACAAGTGTGAAAGCAGGTCCCATCCCTCTCCACATGATGTAATTAATTTGCCATTGCAACGTCTTTTTTTCTAGTGGCTTTTGGCTCTCGTGCCTGGGATTTTCTTTTATTATTTACTGTCTGTCTGAGCAGCAGTACAGGGCTGCAGGCAGCGGTGCCTGCAGAGAGGGCTGGGATGGGGTTGGCTGCTCAAAAGAAGGGGGAAGCTGCTCTGTGCGCTTTGGCCTGAATTCCCAGTTTGAAAAACCCCTCATCTTCTCAGAAAATTGGCAGAATAATCTCTGAGCTGTGACCTGGGGGGCAGTGAGCAGAGAGGCGGGCAGCAGTGGCAGGGAGGGGGTGATACTCGCAGAAATCTATTAGTGCTCTCTCTCCGATTTCCATTCCTCTTGTCTCCCTCACCCT